AGACATGATCAGGACTTGCAACATTTCTCACATCCTTGCTTTATTTCATTATGTACATGTTAATCAAGTTACTGGTTTTTATGCCCGTGGTATTGTCCTCCAATACTAACATGATGAATCTACATAAGCACTGATCAATGTGGCGTTCTGAACTACCATGCCTGGTCCCCTGCTGAGGAGCATCAGACTGTAGGTATTGATTGGAACCAGTAGATAGGATAGAAATAGAAACAGTTGGACTTGGCAAAATATTATCCTAAATACACAGCTAAATATACACACGGAAAAAACAAACCACTTCACAGTAAACACAAAGGCACGATGCTGCAGTAAGCTATAGAGTGAATCACAGCTACATCCCAATGGCATGCTGCTGCAGTAAGCTATACAGTGAATGACAGCTACATCCCAAAGGCATGCTGCTGCAGTAAGCTATACAGTGAATCACAGCTACATCCCAAAGGCATGCTGCTGCAGTAAGCTATATAGTGAATCAAAGCTGCATCCCAAAGGCATGCTGCTGCAGTAAGCTATACAGTGAATCACAGCTACATCCCAAAGGCATGATGCTGCAGTTAGCTATATAGTGAATGACAGCTACATCCCAAAGGCATGCTGCTGCAGTAAGCTATAGAGTGAATCACAGCTACATCCCAAAGGCATGCTGCTGCAGGAAGCTATATAGTGAATCACAGCTACATCCCAAAGGCATGCTGCTGCAGTAAGCTATACAGTGAATGACAGCTACATCCCAAAGGCATGCTGCTGCAGGAAGCTATATAGTGAATCACAGCTACATCCCAAAGGCATGCTGCTGCAGTAAGCTATACAGTGAACCAAAGCTGCATCCCAAAGCCATGATGCTGCAGTGAGTTATATATGTTATATCACAGCCAGCTTGATATGTAATAACAATGTTTAGCAACAACCCATGCCCCTCTCCAATCTAACTGAACACAACATAATAAACTCGACAATTTTGGAAGACATTTTGAAACAGAACAAAAAGTTGAAAAAGAGTTGTGTAAATCTCCACTTTGTTTCCCACTTCAATTGTCCTCTTCAGGCTAACGAGACTGAAATAAGGTCTGTAATAAGGCCATGAGGGACACATGCATCTTGGCTTATTGCCTTCTTGTAGTACGCACACACAAAGTAATGCTTTCAACCAGTTGGCGAAATTAGAAGTTATAGAACTAATATTGCGCCACAAGTAGTTTCCGAAATTAGAAGTCATAGAACTCCTATTAATCCAGTCAGTGTGAATCAAGAGTTGTTGGGTCATGCTGAGATCAATCTGGGGTGACAACAAAGAAGAGACTGTAACACTGGAAAAGAGGTGATTGGGGAAGGCACATAAACTTACATGTGGGCATCAAAAGATTTGTTGGTTTTTGTTGCGTAACACAGCACTCGGCAGTATTCCAGTGTGACGGCAGTCTGGGTGAGTGAGTGAGTTTGGTTTTCGCCGCTTTTAGCATTATTCCAGCAATATCACGGCGGGGGGCCCCAGAAATGGGCTTCACGCATTGTACCCAGGTATGGAATCGAACCCTGGTCCTCAGTGTGACGAGCGAAGACTTTAACCACTCGGCTATCACACAGCCTCGATGGCAGTCTGGAAATAATCAAGTCTGAACCAGACAATCCAGAGATTGACATCATGAGCATCAATTTACACAAATGGGATACGATGACATCCATCAACCAAGTCAGTGTCCTGTTAGTGGCCTCTTACGACAAACATGGGTTGCTGAAGACCAATTGCAACCTGAAATCATCAGGTATTTATAGAATTTTACGGACAACCCAATTGCTCAAATTACTTATCGCCATTCAAGGATATGAATACAGAGAAGTTGGACTGACCATAGAATATTCCACAATGATACAAGAACAGTGATTGGTCGATGACATTTCCATTATAAATATGATCTTAAGAACTTCTCTCCTTACTGCTTTGAAAACTTTCTTGTCATTTATTCTAATGGTTCAAGTTTACATGTCAGAAGTATTTTGCAAGAATGATACTGCCTAAATCCCATGATCACACAGCCTTGATGTATGAGGAAGCTGAAGCAATACAAATGATAAAAAAAACTGTGAGTGAGTATGGTTTTACGCCGCTTGTAGCAATATTCCAGCAATATCACAGCGGGATACACCAGAAACAGGCTTCACACATTTTTCCCATGTCGCGAATCGAACCCGGGTCTTCGCTTTAACCACTAGGCTACCCGACCGCCCCGATAAAAAAATAGACGAGTTTCAGTTACATGCTTTTGTTAAACATAACCTCATATTAAATAAGTTTGATGGGGATATTAATCATCATTGCAATATAAACCAACAATATATGTATAACATGTTAACTACTGTAACATATCTCTGTATTCCAATAATAGAATTAGTACTTTACTGTTGTAAACATGGTAAATGACCTCTGTCCAAGGTTGACAAAAAACACTTTTTTGGTAACCATCCATTTTTGAATTAAACTGTAAATGGTGGTAGGACATCTTTATGATTTAATCAGCTTTGGACAACACATTCTTTCATAATCATTACCAAACTTGGAAACATTTTTTGGACGTTTTGGATGACAATTAGTCAGTGTCCAAGAAAATGAACCAATATGAAACTATGTGGTGATTTTCCTGATGTAGGAATTTGGCAGGTATCATGCATATTTGGTGTATGTTTGTGTTTGTTTGTTGTTGAACGCCACACTCGGCAATATTCAAGCTATATGACTGCGGCTGTAAATAATCGAGTCTGGACCAGACAATCCAGTGATTGACATCATAAGCATCGATACACGCAATTGGGATACAATGACATGCATCAACCAAGTCAGCGAGCCTGACCACCCAATCCCGTAAGTCGCCTCCTATGACAAGCAAAGTCGCCTTTTACGGCAAGCATGGGTTGCTGAAGATCTATCCTAACCCGGATCTTCACAGGTCTACTTGGTGTATGAATATCACAGCCTTAGCATCAATCATAATACAAAGACATCTCAATTTGTACACATGATCTACACCAAGTCGAAACACAAGTGAATCAGTGAGTGAGTGGAGTGAGTGAGTGAGTGAGTGAATGTGTGTGGTTTCACGTTAAAACTACACCACCCTGATCACAGCCAGAGCACCCAGAATGGCCACACCACAATAAACCTAGGTGAGAAATGGATTTCAAGTTTCATTTTGAACATGTTGAAGTAAAAAAATATTTTTGAATCAAAACCGCTGAATAATATATCCACTGTATAATTCTCATAAAAAAACAAAAAATAAAAACTTGAAAAGTTGACTATGTTGTATGAAAGACTTTCACATATGTTACATGTTATCCTGAACCTTAGGGGTTAAGAATTATAGATGTATACTGACATCAATCTATGGACCTGCTTCATAGTGTCTCCATGTCAAGAGTTAACACATGGAAAACAGCTGATAAACAAAGTCAAACATGAAGCACAGACACCATCTGATAATGTCCCCACTGAACCTTGATTAATGGCACCGTTAGGTACTCCGGCTGAGTCAAAGGAAAATTATCGGGGAGAACTTCATCTCAAGTCTTCTAATCACATCCTATGGTTACACCTTGTTTATCATGAACAGATTGGTGTATCCTGATGTTTCAACAATGCTAGATTCAGCATCCAATAAATGACATACCAGCATCCAGGGGAAAGAAACAGAAACCTAGATATGGCCTTTCAAGGATTCAGATCACCACCTTCATCGGCCATTGGTCAATAATTATTTCTAATGATCACTGACTGTACAATACATGGGTCATTAGAACTGACTGACTACAATGACACTTCTGTATCTACCTTTGATAAAACACGACTAGACATTATGATTTATAATTTCAATTACATCCAGTTACACTAGACATTATTTGTAAATAATCAGGGATTAAGATTATCATGTGTAATTGTCTCATAAAATAAGCCGGAATTATCTATCAGCTGTACACACATTTTATCCCATAATCAACTGAATATCATGGTTATGCAGTCAAAACATAACCCCTATAAAAACTCAAGTGTAAAGCAATGATCGGACAGAAACTAGATCTGAAACAATTATTGAGCCAAGAACAGTATTTTCTATCATGTTGTTAATACAGTTAATGCTTTTACAAAACATATATTCAAAATGAAAATAATCAAAAATAGCAGTTGTAATTTTGTTGAAGTTAACTTTGTCCCCTTTTCATTGAGATTGATAATATGCTTTTTTATTTATGAATACCAAAATCTATTTTAACTATTCAAAGTGTGCATAAAGCGAGTTTATAATTTTTTCATTTTCAATTTGAAATATGTCTATAAGTATTCCCTGTATACCAGGAACATACTGTGCCATTATCAAGTTAACCGCGCCATCGGCACTAAAATATAAGGAATTTCGAACTCTGCACATTAAACTTGGATGGAACTACAAACACGTTATTAAATTGATCATTAACTTAATTTACAGACAATGTACCTAGAAATTAGACAATGTCAGTGACTACCCCCAGGGACATAACTAGAATATAAAACTAAGCGCCCTTGTCAGGCAAATTGTGATAAAAAAGCAAATTGGGAAAAAAACATGATCTTGTTCAAAATTGGCGCTTTTGTGTTTTAAGTTACTTTCTTAATTTCAGAGATATTTTATAATTGTCTTTTACTACTGTAATCAATAATGTAAAATTATAGTGACAGCCTCTTCCTCCTTATTGGCCCTGTTATCAGTGAAACACCTGATGAAGTCACCTGATGAAGTCACCTGATGAAGCCATCCCACTAATTATAACCATATAAACATGAATCAGGACATTTTTCATTTCACTTTGGGAATTATTACTGACATTTGTCGCAGACATAGAGACGAATATCAACCTTTGAGCAGGTCTAGATAAATCCCTGACAGCTGAACATTATAAGCATGTAACTGACAATCGTCAGAGGAACCGATTTGACAACACCTGACAAGTACCTCTTCCAGAACTGGTGTGAAGCGTATACCATCCTAGCGTCCCATCCCTGCTGCCCGAAACACAGCCCGGTGGGGTACATCCTAGGGGCGCGAGGGATGGGGGAGGGGGTAGAGGAGGCCAGACTTGCCCGCTGATGCCGTCGTCGCTGCCAACACCATTAATGCTGCTCCTCCATCTGTGCTACCACTGCCGTCACACCCAGCTCGCTTTGATCCGTGGAGCGCATCACAGATCTAGTTTCTACCAACACGCAGATGACGAACCCGATTCCTAAGGCTGCAGCAATGACAAAGGCAAGGCAGCCAAGAAAGTCGTGGCGACGAGTGGTGAGGAATTGATCGTAGGACTGTTGTCAGCCGACGTGATGGCTGGTTAACACCAACAGTGAGACCCTGTGTCACACACGGCAAATTGCACCTCAATTAGACTCGGGAATATCCATAACATCGCTGTCACCTGGGAACTCATTAAACCTGGCTGCCTCACACAACTAAGTCATCATATTGGCGGCGAATACATCACCCGATACTTCACATTCAACTGGTTGTGTTTCACTTACAGATATTCTCCAAACAGACTCAAATTAAATGCAATGAAATGTGAGGGCCTTCAAACCAGGTCCACTTTCACAGATGCACACATGACTCTTTTTCACAAAATGACAGAATGAAAAAAGGGGTAGGGTCATAAAAACTTATTGCCACAAGCCCTTTTTATCATCTGAATGGAAATTAAAAATCACCAGCAATGAACTCGGGAGCATCTCCTGCAATTGCCATGGTAACCATCAAGGTGACAATTCTGGAATATCTCACAAATAACTGGTGAACACTCCACTCCCTAGTAACACTAGCTCTCACACTGTCTCTCCTGCACATGATAAACAGCAGCATAAACATGTTATCAAAAAGTGATCAAGCTGTAGAATCGGGTTTTAAAGATAACTTATTAACATGATTTATACCTTTATTTCTCAAAGGTGTATATAAGAATATTTTTTCCAAAGAGACAGTTATTATTGAGCAAGAAATATATTTTCACTTATTATCTTTCATGATGTGTTTGCACGCAGATAACAGCCATTATCTCCATTTGTTGTCCCAGTTGTAAGCATGGTAAGGGGGCATCCTAAATGTTAATCTGATCAAAATATAAAACTGACTTTCAAATTCAACACTGGCTTGAGCTTGTGTATTCCTAAAATGGAAATATTTACTAAAATATAAAAATGATTTATTTTAGCATGGTTTCCATGGTTACTGGTACAATTCTAACCTGCAGAAATTCAGCCACTGAGAGAGATAAATAAACATCTTCAAAAGAATGGCAAAGGTTTGTTCCAGGCAAAACTACACAAATTACTGTTTCTGATGGTAAGGATGGTAAATTATTATTATAAGAACACACTTCTAACACAGGCTGGTTCAAGACAAAACAGAAACACTAATGTCACAGACAGTTGTAAGGAAATACATGTCAAACCCACTCATTTTCCTGCAGATGTTACTTTCTAAGAAACAATTAGATCTTACAATACCCAGGTATGTACATCATATATTGCTATTCACTGCAATACATGCATATACACATGGTATAACTGCCATACTGCTCCTACAGATACCTTCTCCCAAAATTGCTGTAACGACTCCCTCAAATACCCTTGTATTACTGCTGTATCTGTTCCATTAAATACCCTTCTCTCATTATTGCTGTACTGATTCCTCAAATACCCTTCTCTCATTATTGCTGTACTGATTCCTCAAATACCCTTCTTTCATTATTCCTGTACTGACTCCCTCAAATACCCTTCTCTCATTATTGTTGTACTGACTCCCTCAAATACCCTTCTCTCATTATTGCTGTACTGATTCCTCAAATACCCTTCTCTCATTATTGTTGTACTGACTCCCTCAAATACCCTTCTCTCATTATTGTTGTACTGACTCCCTCAAATACCCTTCTCTCATTATTGCTGTACTGACTCCCTCATATACCCTTCTCTCATTATTGTTGTACTGACTCCCTCATATACCCTTCTCTCATTATTGCTGTACTGACTCCCTCAAATACCCTTCTCTCATTATTGCTGTTCTGTCTCCCTCAAATACCCTTCTCTCATTATTGTTGTACTGACTCCCTCAAATACCCTTCTCTCATTATTGCTGTACTGACTCCCTCACATACCCTTCTCTCATTATTCCTGTACTGACTCCCTCAAATGCCATTGTCTCATTAATGCTGTGCTGTCTCCCTCAAATACCCTTCTCTCATTATTCCTGTACTGACTCCCTCAAATACCCTTCTCGCATAATTCAAGCAGGGGCAGAAATATATCCTCGTCTCACATTTTGTGATAGCTTTGTTAGTTTACAAAATCAATCAGCTCGGACATATCTAACTGAAAATAGCCACTGAAATGCACCTGCACTTATATGGTCAACAGATTGGCTATGTGATGAGAGTCAAGCCTTGAGAACCACCTACTCATGAGGGAGGGGGGTGAGGGGGGTGAGGGCAGGTGAGGGGGGATAAGGGGGATTGGGGGAGCCTCAGCTGTCACAGACATGTTCCTGATCATAGATGTGAGTGAGAATCAAGATCGAATATCAGGCAGTTTCTATGACTCAGGCTCTACGAAGGATCTATACCATCAAAATAATAGATCAGTACATCGCAGACAGTTGTTTACAAGCCCAGGAGCGAGGACTGACTCCAAGACATTAAGTTTGAGCACATATTGACCATACAAGGAACAAGTTTATTTATACCACGCTTAATATACTAACACATGCGGAAGACAATATCTCTGGCAAACGAGATATATATGGACAAAATCTGTAGATACTAGTGCTGAAATTATTGGGACATATACTACTCAAAATAAGTTAGAGAACACTTGATTTTTTTATATGACTAGTTAATCTGTTGATATATATACTACTCAAAAGAAGTTAAAGAACATTCAATATTTTTCATATGACTGTAGCTTAGTTGGCGTGTTATGACAGATTAACAACAGCCATATGAATAATTGTGTTAGTATGTAGTTTTTTGTTGTTTAATGTCGCACTTAGCAATAATCCAGCCATATGACGGTGGTCTGTAAATAATTGGGTCTTGATACGATGACATTTGCAAGTCAGCAAGCCTGACCACCCGATCTCCTTAGTCACCTCTTATGACAAGCATAGTCGCTTTTACGGCAAGCATGGGTTGATGAAGACCTATTTTACAGATAAACTATCGTCATGAAATATTTGTATGTTCTTCTTGTCTTCTTGTGAAAAGTATATGCTAATGAACTATTTGGGGAGGAGGGGGAATGCCATTTTATTTAATAATAGTTACATCCTCATATATGGCATGTCTCAATGTGAATGAATTAGTGAGTTAAAGGCGCTTTAACAGAATTTCAGTTATATCACGGCATGTCAGCTTGATGAAGGAGAAAGCCAAAGTGATGCTGGTCTTTGATGTCCCACGAGCAGGGCTATGGTGCTGCCAAGCCCACAAACATAATCAGGGCGAATGAGGAACCCACAATCATGGGATTCTAGCTGCCTAAGGAATTCAGCTCTGTACAGAGGCGTGGAATACCACATATGGTATGGTATGGTACATATGGTATGTAGATTTTTTTTGTATTTCCACAGACAAAATGACCACTTCACCATTCAGTGAAATATGTGAGCAATACTGAGCACTGGTATCGAGTTTGTTTGTTGCTTACCACCTCACTCAGCAATGTTTGTTTGTATATTTGTTGTTTAACGCCGCACTCAGCAATATTCAAGCTATATGGCAGCGGTCTGTAAATAATCAAGTCTGGACCAGACAATCCAGTGATTGACATAATGAGCATCGATCCCTGAAATTGGGATACGATGACATGCATCAACAAAGTCAGCAAGCCTGACCACCTGATCCTGTTAGACACTTCTTTCGACAAGCATAGTCGGCTCTTAAGGGTTGCTGAAAACCTATTCTCTACCCAGATCTTCATGGGTCACATCCCATTGTAGTGCAGTCATAATCTGGAGCATGTCAGTCTATCAAGTTGTTATTCAATGTGTGCGATCGTTGAAATCAAGAAAAACAAACATGACTTTCTGTTTTCCTGACCAATCCTAATCTACCTCCACCTCGCAGGTTGCATCATACATTTCCATATCCTATCCCCAAGACTTAAATTTTCTGTGCTTTTCTACACATCATAATCTTCAAAGTGGTGTACTTAAATGTCATTTGCAAGTAGGATTTAAATGATACTCAAAATTACCATTTCTCAAAGAAGAAAAGAAATAAAATATTCCAGAGCTCCAGATAGCATTTTGAGCTATTGAGTTTTTACTCTAGGGTTTCTATTTTAATTATTTAGTTATTACATTTTTCATTTTTCAATTTTTTTTCACTCATCTATTCATCACAAAATGAAATAATGTTTTAGATGTATGTAACTGTTTTAAATATATAGGCTTGACTCGGAAATTAAATTAGCTCGTAATTGTGTTTTGGAAATTAGCTCCATTGTATGCATGCTGAAAAAGCTTCATTTGGTATTTACGCATACTGTTTTTATACATTTAGGTTTTTTATTTAATGCATATGTTTCTGTAGCAAGTTAATTGTAGCTCTGAAAATCCAACCAACCTACCCTACAGCACAAACCCAGGCTATTCTCTATTTTGTGCACAGGTGGCATTACTGACAGGAAACAATTTTTTCAATTTCCAACACCGATAAATAATATCATTTGGTATTCTCATAGGAACAAGGTGAAGTGGGATGAAATGGGGTTCAATGTCGCGTTTAAGATTACTGCAACGTGCATGCATGCATGTGTGCATGCAGGCGCATCTGCTTTTACTAGTGTGGACTAATGATGGTTTTATAGTGCTAGCCCACTGAGATACCATGCTGTTTAACATGACAACCCCACTGAGACACAATGTACTGACTGAGACGACCAGTCCTTGTTTTATCCACTTAATGCCAAGCACCAGGCAAGGTAACAACAAGTACCATCTTTTAATGTTTTGGATTGAAACCCCCGACCTTCTGCTCTCTGGACAGACAGACGCTCTATCCACTAGACCACAGTGGGAGGTCTAGGTGGGAGGGACACAAAAGATCATCCACATCAAACA